CTATAGGAGCAAGCACAGCAGCATAGCCTCACCCCCAAGTAATCAGAGGGACTGGTCCCAACCATGTTTTGTCTGGTAATGCCCGATAATATACCAGAGGCGGAGGCAAGCTTGTTTTCTGTTGAAAGTGTCTCTGATAAGCGGTGGAATTTTGAATGGAAACATTCAATTGGTTTAATGTAAATAATACTTTTTTAACCTGTTGTGTTAACCACGACAAATTGGGTACCCTAGAGCCCTCCTTTTTTATTTGTTTGTGGAGGCAGTCCTTAAAGGACCGATTAGCACATTCCATGATGGCTTGACCCGTGGAATTATAGGGGAGACCACGAGTAAGAACAATATTCCAGGTTGTACAAAATTGCAAAAAGGCCATTGAAGAATAGGCTGACCCGTTATTAGTTTTTTAAAAAGAGGGCTTACCCAAGGCTATAATGGCCAAAAAAAGATGAGAAATAACATGATTTGCTGTTTCCCCTCTTTGAGGCGTGGCCCAAAGTGCTCCTGAATAGGTATCAATAGATAAATGAATATATTTCCAGGGAGCCAAAGAGGGAACATGGGTAACATCCGTTTGCCATAGTTGATTAGAGGTTAACCCATGGGGATTAACTCCCGTGTCCCCCAAAGGAGATGCCCCAGAACATTGGGGACAGGATGAAACAATCTGCTTGGCTTGGTCGAGTGGAACATGGCAAACTTGTGCCAGCCCCCTAGCATTTTGATGAAAAAAAGAGTGACTGAAAAAAGGGTCTGAAAACAAAGTGGGTAAGACATGAACTGCAGCGTCAGCATGACTATTGCCTTCAGAAAGAGGCCCAGGAAGGGAGGTGTGACTGCGTATATGAGAAACAAAGTATAAGTGCTTTTGATCTTGTAGCAGCTGCTACAAAATTAAAAACAAAGCCATGAGTTTGGGGTCAATCCTGGGCGTGATACAAGCACCTGGAAGATTAAAAATAAGTTGACACACATACTGAGAGTCAGAGATTAAATTAAAAGGCTGTTGAGAAAAGTTGTGAAAGGCTAAAATAGCAGCAGATAATTTTGAGCATTGCGGTGAAGATTGCACTGCAGTGTAGGACACTTTTCAGGTATCATCATGAGAATCCTTATAAGCAATTGCTCCTCTCATTCGCCCTCCATCAGAAAAAACAGTAGGAGCTTGGGACAATGGAGAAGGAGAAAGCAGTGGGCGGACAGGAAAGGAAGAAGTCATTAAACAAGCAAGCCAAGGATCTTTAGGCAAATGATATGAAATACAACTAACATAGTCAGTTAAAGCACACTGAAGAGATATGTTATTCTGAAAATAAAATTGAAAATCAGATTTAGGGAGAGGAAGAACAATATTCATTAAATCGGTCCCATTTCTATGGCAAGCTCGAGTGCGTCTTAAGGTTATTATTTCAGCAACAGCCTGGATAAATGGTAAAACATTTTGGGATGGGGGATGGGGTAAATAAAGCCATTCAATACAATATACTTTGTGCTTCTAATACAGCTAATACTCCTGTAGGTAGCTTACTAGTAGGAAATATCAAAAGGGTTAACTGACAATTTTTATGTGGAATTTGGTCCACAAATTGAGTACTGCCATTAAGATGCCATTAATTTGCTCCACCATGGCAAGTGCTGCAGGTGGAACTAAAATGAGATCTCCAGGTTGTTTTCCTTTGGTCAATAAATCAAATAATGGACTAAGTAAATGTGTAGGCAAAGAAAAATATGGGCGGACCCAACTGAGGGTGCCCAGCAATTGCTGCAAATTGACCAACGAAATAACTTTGGGTATGCTCAAGCGAGGAAAAGCTGGAGCAGAATAAGATTGCAACATTTTATGCCCTAAATAAAGATAGGGAGAATGCAACTGTATTTTTTCCGGGGCAACCTGCAATCCATAGAGACCTAAATCATTTTGTATTTTGGAAAGCCAATTAGGTTGTATCTTTGGTGCTCCAATTAAAATATCATCCATATAATGATATACCAAAGCCAATGGATGACGTTTACGAAAAGGGGCTAATGTTGTAATGACATAAAGCTGACATAATGTGGGACTGTTCAGCATACCCTGTGGCAAAACTGTCCAGTGATAACGTTTATTACAGTGGTTCTCAACCTGTGGGTCGGGACCCCATTTGGGGTCGAACGACCATTTCACGGGGGTCGCCAAACAAGGCTGACCGCCATTTTTTCCCCTTTTCTTTGGCCATGCCCCTGGCACCCGGTGATGTATAAGTGGTTGGGGGTCACCACAACATGGGAAACTGTATTATGGGGTCGCGGCATTAGAAAGATTGAGAACCACTGGTTTATTAGGTTTTGAATGGTTCACTGCAGGCACAGTAAATGCAAACTTTTCCTGATCAGGGGGGCATAGGGGAATAGAAAAAAAAAACAATCCTTTAAGTCAATTACCATTACTTCATGATCTTGAGGAATCAAATTAGGGTTAGGTGTCCCACACTGCAAAGGACCCACAGGTTGAATATAGGCATTAATGGCCCTAAGGTTGCACAATAAGCGCCACCTGCCACTTTTCTTTTTTATGACAAAAACGGGTATTCCATGGACTAGTGGAAGGCACAATATGACCAGCAAGCAGCTGGTTGTTAACAAGCTGGTGGAGAGCCGTCAATTTTTCATGTGACATGGGCCATTGATGAATCTACACTGGCTCTTTAACCAGCCAAGTCAAAGGGAGGGCAGTAATCTCAGTCTTCCAAAGTGGGGGTGGCACCCAACTTACTGAGCAGGTCATGTCCCCAAAGGCTGACATGAATATCCAATATAAATGGGCAGACCTGAATAACCAAATCTGAGTTAGGCAAATGGGCTGAAAGAAATCGTGCACTTTGACATGCACTTTGACAATCCCCCACATCCCACACACTTGGACAGGGCTCAGTTGGCCAGGCGTCAGGCCACTACTTGGCAGAGATCACTGAAACATCCGCTCCAGTATCCAAAATTCCCTCAAAGGGCTTACCCTGCAGCACAATGATCTGGGCCATTGAAATGTGATCATGGTTAGTGATGGCAGCTATTACGGAAGTGGCCAGGTTAGTAGAACTGAAGCCTCCTTCCCCTCTCTCCTTTAACTCTCCCCCTGCCGGGACAAAATAAGGCAAATGCAAGAGCTGAGCAGGGCTAGTGTAAATGGGCAAAAATTGAGGCAAGTTGGTCCACAATTGAACATAAATAATTCCAGTATAGTCCGAATCTATCACCCCAGGGATAACAAAAATATCTTTTTTACCCATGCTTGACCGTGGAAGGACAAGCTCTACATAATTTTGTGGTAGGGGGCCTGATAATTGGGATGGAACTACTTGAATCTCCCCAGGAAATTTAAATTTAACTTCCTCCTGCAGTATCAAATCAATTCTGGCACTACCTCTGGTAGCTGCAGGAGTATTTCCTATTGTTGGTCTGTTGTCTCTGTTTGGACTGGGGCCGGAGACTGGCCTGGTCAGCTGTTTCCCGACTGACACTCACTTGCCCAATGATAACCTTTCTGACACTTTGGGCATTTTGTTTTTGGCTTCGATCCTAGATGGAAAGAGGAGCAAGATGCTACAGACGTACCCCCCCCCCCGGCTTTCTAAATTCCTTTTCAAAATGACCAGGTTTGCCACAGTTGTAACACTTTCCTGGAGGCTTGCTGCCTTGAGATAAAGCATCTGCCAATAAATTGGTTTGATAAGAGGTGATTCCTATATCTTGACACGCTCTAATCATATCTGCCAAATCAGGATCTTTCCCCAGACCAATAATTGCCCTTCAACATTCAGAAGTGGCGTTGTCTTTTGCCAGCCTCATCAGCAACTCCTGCTGAGCTTCAGGATTGTCTATCTGCCGCCATAAAGCATCCTGTAGTCTATTAATAAAATCAGGATACGGCCAGTAGCCTTCTGCCTGATATTAGAGAAGGCTTGATGAGGCTTGCCAGAAACAGGCACTTTTCTGAAGACTGTATAGGCACATTCAGAAGAAATCTGTAAAGTGGCAGCCGGTAGAACAACCTGTGCATCAACTGGGGCAAAGGGGCCAGAACCATACAATTGATCACGAATAACGACCCCCCCTCCGAGTTAAGAGCACGTACAACACATTGATGTTTAAACTCGCTGTCCCAAACTACATATTGCGTTGGAGTAAGCAACATGCGAAAGGTAGTTTTCCAATATTCAGGTACTAAGATATGATTTCTCATAGTGGCTTCCAACATTACTTGCACATAAGTACTTCCCAACCCCATATCTCTAATTCCTTTTCTAAGTTCTGTTAAAATTACATAGGACAAAGGGCGATATTTCACTATTTGAGCTCCATTCTGATTTAGTGTACTGGACAAACAGAAAGCATATCAGTAATTTCTTCTATATTCCCCCCCCCCTTTTTTTCTAATTGTTCTTCTAATATTTTCCTTATGGGGGTGTACGATGGCTGAGAAAAAGCAAAAGAATTAGCTTCTTCAGAAGGAGCTGAAGATACAATTAAAGATGCTTTAAGAGGGATAAGTTTTACTTAGTTGTAATCAGGCGGGAGGCTGGTAGTTAATTGCTGCCCTGCCGAAGGATCGGAGCCAAATTTTTCTACTGCTTGATGGCACTGATACCATCGATGTAATATCTTTACTGGAGCCCGGGGTTCAAGGTGTAAAGTATGCCCTATCTTTATCCAATCTCGTAAACGAAGCGTCCTGCACTCAGGATACCAGGGACAATGTTTCCCTACCTCCTCCACCAGCTTCCTTATGCCTGCCTCAGGTGCTGTCACACCTGATTTATGTAGCAGGAATCGAAGTTCCTGTACATGTTTTTGCTGGTGCTGAGATAGATTGCAACTCATACCTACCACTGAGGGTCCTAGAGGACAAAGGTGCACCTAGGGGTCTGTTCCAGATGCAGGTAAGTATGTTGGCTGTTGCTCCCATAGGGGGTGATCTCACTGGGGCCTCCAGCTGTCAGAATCAGAGACCAGTCATAGCAGGATGCCAATATATCTCACTGCCTTTCGCAGCGTTTATTGCTTTATACAGTTTTCCAAGCAGCAAAAGATAGCATAGCAACAGCATAGCAATGCCATTTTTATTGGTAGATTCTCCTTGTCAATCCTTAAGAATATATCAGCCAGGGGCAGTTTTCTGCTACATCCTGTTGGTGTGAACAAGATGAGATCATATGAACCAGGTGAAATCATGTACCAGCCTGGGGTAGTTTCCTACATCACCATGGCGATATGAACGGGGTGAGATCATGCAGGGATTCAAGGCATGTGGCATTTGAGGTAGACAGTTTGTTGCTCATGACCTCTACCTGACCTCTATTTCTACAAGATTTAATATAAATATCCACTCCAATGAACATTCCATTTTCAAATCTATGTTCTGATATCAGGTATGGCTTTCTAATTCATGTTTAAACAACATGAATCTCTCCTTATCAAAATTCAAACTACTAATAATCTAATAATTACTAACTACTAATAATCAACAGCAGAGTTTTCTGCTGATTTTAGATTTTAATATTAAAAAAGGAATTGTTACATCACCCAATGTTAGTATTGTGAAGAATTTCCCTAGAATTATCTATAAAAAGCCTGTTTTAGCTAACCACCACCCACCCGCAATTTTAATGCATTGTACAGAATCAAAGTACAGAATCTGATAGAGAATTCAGAAAACAAATGGAATTAGAATTTTTCTGGAACGTGGATAATCTTCAAACTTGTTGAGATACCATCTGAAGAAAAAGAAAAAAAAGTAAAAAATGGTTTGATTTAGACATGTCAAATTCTTAACAAAGGCAAATAACTCTATTTTTTTCACATTATGTGTATAACATTATGATAAAATATTTCTTACCAATCACAAAAATCAGTTATTTTTTAAATACAAAGTATTATGATTTTCAGTTTATATCTTTGCTTTCTGCCTATATGGCATTCAAAAGGGCTAACAGTCAAATAAATACAGATAAGGAAAAACCAGTATAAATCACCAAAATGATCCATTTTAAAAAGCCTGACTTTTTGACTTTTGAAAAAAGGATGTAGCTGGTTTAATGAGTTGAAACATTAAACAAGCATATCATCAACTGAACTCTTAAAAGCAGATGCATCTTTTTCCAGTTCTTATGAAAATCTAAAAAGAAGTGTAAAAGTTTCAAAGAACAGCAGAAACAAATTGATTTAGCTGAGATCCAGAGACAGAAGGTACAAATGTAAACAGCTAAAATCATCAAATAAAAGTAAAATAATACAAGCAACCGTAATAGCTGATTTAAATCTGTTACAACTGGTATATAATATTTTCAAAACTCTTTTAACATTAACCAGGAAATATTTGTTCAGTTCTCAGGCATCTTAAATTATAGAATATAATTCAACACAGAAAGTTGGAGCTATTATTTAAAATAGATATTTCTTAAATTTTAAAATATGGATGGCAGATCATTATAAACCTGGTTCACATTTCTTTCATATGTTTCTATATAAGTCCATTCCTTCCACATTAAAGGCATAGAACCTAACAAATTCACAAGGGAAGTTAATGGCTGTCTTTTAATTATTTTAAAAATATTTATTGCAAAACCAAAAGTCTGGATGTTTGGCAAGCTTCTTTGCTTGAAAATGTGGCCACACAAATTCATCAATAAAACATCATTTCTACTCCATCAAGAGACATTCTGTGAATAAACGTTTACTGATTTCCCCCATATAATACCCACAGAAAAGGCGGGACATCATCCATGTCCCATTGTTTCCAGGGGTAAGTTGTGGCCTGTTTACAATGTATCTCAAAGTTTAATGGAACTGTAAGGTCCCACCTCAGCTAGCAATCCCAAGAAAGCAGAACTCCTGAAACTGGCATCATTTCAAAAGAAACTTTTATTGGGCCATAGTGACAGTCAATCCATAGATGGAAAGTTGTTATAAGAACCGGAGTCATAAAACCGCAGTTCTCAGATGTTCCATGTTCCTCCTGCTTTCTTCCCAGCGGAGCAGAGATAAGACAGATGGTCCCAAGCACATTCCTCCTCCCTTTCATACCCAGAGCGATGCATCAGTGTGAAGAGAACAAAGTAAAGGAAATACATCTCAAAGCCCACAGAGTTTTCCCTCTCCCAACAGAATGGCAGTACCCGCAAATGAAATGAACTTAATAGATAGTTTGAGGGTCTGACATGCTGCCCCCCCCAAAAGAAGAAGTCCACCAAGGGTTGCCTTCATAGTCGCTTCCAGGCGTCCCTGGTTTGTCTTCAGGTGGGGTCAGAGTTCCCCCTCCTAGTTTTGGGGCTAGATGGAACTCCACAACCTCTGCACTCTTCAGGGCTGTGTCTTTGGGGCGTTGAGCAGGTTTCACCGATTTCCCTCCAGATAGTCGGTCTCCTTTTTTGGCAGGGGTCTTTGTGCAGCACTCCAAAGTGTGATGGCCTTCCTTGCCACATTTGAAGCAAGCGTTTCAGCGCGGTTGAGCTGTTGTGGGTTTGCCTGCCTCTCCTTTCTTCTCTGGCAGAGACCATTTTCAAACCCTGCCTGACCGGTATTGGTTGCGATTCTGGTCAATCTCTGTTTCTTTGGCCAGGATGCACCAGTCATGCAGGTGGGCTGGGGCTCCATGGGCGATGCAGGCATTATTTAGGTCATCATTAAGCCTGTCTTTGAAGCAGCTCACCAAGATGTCCTCTGGCCAGTTGAGTCGGCATGCCAAGTCTTGGAACTTCTCTGTGTATTCGGCTACAGGGCAGCATCCCTGCCTCATCGTTTTTATGTGGACTCACACCTTCTGATTGGCTAGATGGTCTTCAAAACGCTGCCTCAAGGCAGTCATGAAGCAGTTAAAGTTTCGGAGGTCCTGGGTGTCAGAGTTTAGCAGGGTTACCATCCACCGGACTGTGGTGCCTTCTAGAGCCAGGGTGACAACCCTGACTTTAGCTTCCTTGCTGGGGAGGGTTCTTCCATACACTTGCATGTAGGTGAGGACATGAGCAAGGAAGAATCCTAACTGTTGCAGGTCTCCATTGAATTTCATCCGAAGGGATACCAATTTTGGTTCAGGCTGTAGGGCTTTTTCCCTGGCTACTTAACTGGACGTTCAACCCCTGGAGCTGGGGAGGCTGGGGTGGTTGCCACCATCTCAGTACAGCCATCTGCCCCCACTGCAGTTTCAGTAATTACCAACTCGCTCTTGCTGCGCACTGCTTCCTCAAGTCTGTCCTCACTTCTCCCTCTGAACTGCTCGGATTTCACCTTCAAATCCTGAAAGGCTTCCACTATGAAGAGCAGTGCTTGTTTCAGGATCTGGTCGATGGGGTCCTGTTCTCCCTTGGTTTCCTCTTTGTCGTAGAGTAATTCCAGTTCACACCTCCAGCCCTATTTTTGGCTGCCTCGGGTGAAAGTTGGGTCCTTCTGTCCCAGTCTTTCCTTTTCCTCACGCCAACCGACCACCTGGGCCTCATGGATTCCTCCATGGCAGCTGTTTCCTCCATCCATCCGGAGGGCTCTCTTCAGGTGGTGGACTCTTCCTAGTACTCAGTCTCATCCTGCTCGCTGCCATGCTTGCTGCCATGGAGCGACATGGTATGCACGGTCCCTACAGTAGAGTGGATGCCTCTCTAGGCTGACCACTTTACAGATTGTGCCTAATGTAAGGTTCTGTCTCAACTAGCAATCTCAAGAAAGCAGAACTCCTGAAACTGACATCATTTCAAAAGGAACTTTTATTGGGACATAGTGATAGCAGAATAGCAAAGCAAGATCTGAAGAAATCCCATGCAAAACATTACATTAAAACTCTCCTTTCAAACCCCTCTCCAGTGCCCAATGGTCCAGTATGATTTCGGCCAATCCATAGGTGTGAAGTTGTAATGGGAACTGGAGTGCTAAAGGGGCGTTGGTCTTACCTGAACGCCTTTTCTCAGTACGGAGATGGATAATCCACGGATGGGTTTTCTCTGTCTGCCTGCTCTTGAGACCAAGTAGCCAAAGCTTGACACGCCCCCACTTCCTGTGGAGTCCATTCTTAACGAGGGCGAATTGGCTGATGATTGACGAGGTATTGGCTCTCAGCTCCCTACTAGCGGCCTGCTGGCCTTGGGGTGGGTGTGGATTATCCATCTCCGTACTGAGAAAAGGCGTTCAGGTAAGACCAACGCCCCTTCTCCAGTACAGGAGATGGATAATCCATGGATGGGACGTACCAAAGCCTCACTGTCCCAAGGGGTGGGAAACAGATAAGGCCGGTAGATTGATCTCTGAGACAACTTGCTGGAGGACCCTCCTACCAAAGGAGGCGTCCGCCGATGCAAAGCGGTCTATCTTGTAGTGTCGTATAAACGGGAAAGGCGAGGACCATGTCGCAGCCCTGCAAACTTCCTCGATTGACGCCTGGGTAGCCCATGCTGCCGAAGTTGCAGCGCTTCGGGTGGAATGGGCTGTGAGATGACTTGGGGACGGCAGGGATGATACATTGTAAGCTTCTGCGATACAGCTTCGGATCCACCTTCCAATGGTGCCCACGGAAACTTTCCACCCCAAGGTGCCCGCTTGGAAGGACACAAATAGGGCCTCCGATTTGCGGAAGGGTTCTGTACGCTTTATATAACGCCGCAAGGCTCTGCGGATGTCCAATGTATGCCACTGCCGCTCCCGGTCATGTGTTGGATTTGGACAGAAGTTTGGGAAAATTACTTCCTGTGTCCTGTGAAAGAGTGAATTCACCTTCGGTATGAAGGCAGGATCTAACCTAAGGACCACCCTGTCCTTGTGGAAAATGCATAGGTCATTTCTGACTGACAGTGCGGCCAGTTCCGAAATTCGTCTGGCCGATGTGATGGCAATCAGGAACGCCACCTTTAGCGACAGGTGTCGCAAGGAAACGGTCGCCAATGGTTCAAATGGTGACCGAGTGAGTGCGTGAAGGACTCACGGTAGTTCCCAGGACAGGTACCTGTGAATTACTGGAGGTCTGGTATTATAGGCGCCCTTGATAAAGGCGCGGATCCTGGGGTGGTGAGCTAAGGGAACCGAATCCGTGCAGGTGAGGAGGGTGGACAAGGCCGCCACTTGCCTGCGGATGGTCGCGGGGGCAAGGCCTCTGTCTAGTCCCTCCAAGAGGTAATCTACTATCTGAGGGATGTAGAGTTTGTGTAAGTCAAACTGCCGTTCCCTGCACCAAAGGCAAAAATTTTTCCAAGTGGAGTCATAAATGCGGTTTGTTGCCGGACGGCGTGAAGCTTGAATTATGGTAATGGCCCCGGGAGAGAATAGTTCCTGTGCCATTATCTGGCGCTCAAGTGCCAGGCGGTCAGTTGTAACCATTGGGGTTCCGGGTGACTGATGGTTCCCTGGTGTAGGGACACTTGATGAGGGGGAATGTTCCATGGGGGCGACTGAGACAGGTTCATCAGGTCGGCGAACCACGGTCTCTGTGGCCAATATGGTGCTACTAGGATCACTTCTGCCCGCTCCTGAATCAGCTTGCGGATGACCGCCGGTATGAGTGGTAGTGGGGGAAAGGCATAAAGCAGACCGTGAGGCCACTGAGTTCTCAGAGCGTCCGTCCCCTCTGCTCGCGGGTTGAAGTAACGAGAGTAAAATCTGGGGAGCTGGGCATTGTCTGATGATGCGAACAGATCGAGGATCGGGTACCCGAACTTGCGGGAGATGTCTAGGAACAAGTTCAGGTGTAGCCCCCACTCCGAAGGGTCCACTGTGGTGCGGCTTAGGAAGTCCGCTTGCT